CGGCGAGTAAGTTCTTTATATTTTTTGCTTTTTTCAAGTAGGCTTTACTGTATCTTATATTTTTATTGTATTTTAGTTGTAGAGTAGTGATAATTTAAAAGTGCTTTACAAATTGTATCAAAAGCATTACTAATTAATATATAGCAACATTATTATATTCTATCAAATTATAAAGTAGACAGATATTAAAATAAATATTTGACTACTCCTGTATCTATGCCAAAATTCTAAAAGTTAAAATCTTTAACTTAATTGTCTTGTTATATAATATTAGATTGCTATTTTATTCATTACCAAAATCTTTAGCTTATTTACTGTTGAATTAAAATCTATTTGCTATTATAATTATGAACATATTCTTTGTTTGAATCATGAACTATTCACTATTAAAATTGCAATTTACTGCTAAACTTACGAACCTACCACTACTCACTGTTAAAATAATGAAATTATCCATTGTTGCAAACTGGTTCTACTCATTTCACTGATACTTATTTTATAGATACAATACTTCATTAACAATCAATTCATAATAATCAATTCACTGACAATTAATTCACTGACAATAAATTAACCAACAATCAATTCAATAACAATTAATTTACTAATACTCAATTCACTGACAAGCTTAATTCACTAACCATACTGTAAACATAATTCTGATATAATTACTTTGTCAGTAAATTGAGTATCAGTGAATTGATAGTGAATTGATTGTTAGTGAATTGAGTGTTGGTGAATTGAGTGTTAGTGGATTAAGCTTGTTGGTAAATTGAGCTGTTGGTAAATTAAGCTTGTTGGTGAATTAAGTATCAGTAAATTAAATGTCAGTGAATTGAGTATCAGTAAATTAAATATCAGTGAATTAAGTGTTGGTAAAATGAGGCAGACCCAAAAAAAAAGTTAAATGTAAAGAACTTACATTCTATATAGGTGACAAAAAAGTAAGTAGAATTAACGTTCAATTTGTACTATTATTTACTGTAAAAAAAATATTGTATATAAATAATTTACAAACTTATATAGATGACAAAAAAGTAAGTGAATTAGTTAGAATTAACATTCAATAAGGCATTGATTTGTATCATTATTTACTGTAAAAAAAATGCTATATGTAAAGAACTTATCTCCTATATAGATGACAAAAAGTAGGATTAGTTAGAATTAATGTTCAATATGGCATTGATTCATACCATTATTTACTGTAAAAAAAAAAAAAATATAAAGAACTTACTCGCTATAGAAGTGACAAACAAGTAAGTGGATTAGTTAGAATTAATGTTTAATAGGGCATTGATTTGTATCATTATTTTCTGTAAAAAAAAATGTTGTATATAAAGAACTTACAAACAATATAGGTGACAAAAAAGTAAGTGGATTAGTTAGAATTAATATTCGATAAATGTGTGTTTTCTTACTAGCAAAACTAAAATGGTTTATTTTCAGAAGAAATTCACACTAAGCTTCCTCAATTTAGTAAGTGGAAGAAATGCTTATTGCACAAATTCTTCCAATGTTAACTGTTTACAAGCTCCAAGGTGGACAGTTTGGATATCGAAAACATGTGATTAATTTTGCTCAAGACATTCAAGAGCTTTTGAAGTTACCTTCATGATTGATAATTTAATTATTCGAAAATCTAATCAAGATTTCACTTCTTTTTAAGAATTTAAGATCAATCGGTTAAATATTTTAATCTGGTTAAATCCTCTTAAAATTATAATCCTTTTTATTCCAATATTGAAATCGATCATAATACATATATTGCATAATTTTCTAGAAGATGGTTCTATATTAACCGATTATTACGGATTGGTTAATAGTGCAATGGGAATGGTCAATATTGTATATGAACTAGGGAAGATGCCACCCACTTTGCTTACACTAATACTGCTCAAAATAAATAATTATACAGGTCCAACACTGCCTACATCAAATAGTTCACAAGCAGTACCGATTCGCCCAATTATGTATGCATGTAAAGGAAAATCCTGAACTTGTTCTCGTATGCAATTTCTATCGTGACTTGCTTGTGCAACTACAATTCACAAGTCACAAGGTTTAACATTATCACGAACTGTATTAGATATTGGCAAAAAATTTGCTATTGATCTTACATTTGTATCTGTATCAAAAGTCCGTTCTCTTTCTGATCTTCTTTTCAGTAGTGCTTTTTCATATGATAGATTACAAAAATTGGGAGAATTACGTCTACAACAAAGATTAGTTGAAGAGCAGAGATTACTTTGTAAATTATTAAATTGGAATTTGTCTTTTCACATGCACATCAATATAAACTTACAAAATATTCATAAAGTTATATTTAAATACTCAGTAACAATGCTAAAAATTTTTACTTCAAATTTGAACAATTTGAACACCTAATAAATAAGGCTCCAGCCCTATGAAACGTAGCCGTTTTATTACTAGTTGATAAATTGTCATAGGACAGCTTTTGGTCATATTTTTTTGGGGGTATTTTGAAATTACTCAAAATTGTATTAAGATAACCTATTTTAATCTTTTAAAAGATTCAAAACTTAGTAGGTGTGTTAGTCGTGCCATAAAAATGTCGCGGTCTCATGATTACTGAACTGACTTTTTTTTGTGCATGTCAAATAACTGACTCTTCCGACCCGAAAATTCAGAATTAAAATACTACTAGTTTTTTAAATTTACGTAATATTTTAACTTTAGTATTTTAAATGTAATGCATAACTTAAATTATTGGGTCGGAAGAGGTCGGTGATCACGAGACCGCGACATTTTTATGGCACGACTAACCCACCTAAACTTAGTACACGTATGTGCGTACGTAAAAATAATCACATTAAAATTTGAACATGATTTAAACATGCTTATATATTTGGATGGGACATGACAAAAAGATTTGAACATCAAAAATGTACAACATTGATACGTACAATAGGAAAATTTTTATTATATATATTTATACATTTCATTGATAAATACTCTATCGCTACGTTTAGTTACACAGGTTTTCTTTTTGAATACATTCACACGGAGTTCAAATTTAAAAGAAAGCAAAATAACATGAATTAAACTGTATATCATTGTCAATTTTAGGGCCAAAAAAAAATTTAGTTACAAGTGCCTGAACAAAATATTACTTCCTTTTTGCTATTAAAATAGTTTGAAGAAGACCTTTATTTATCCGAAAATGATTATAATTACCAAATGTTGTTGTTGCATTCCTTTGAGGACAGGTGTTATTATCATAACACTGTTTTGGCTGGAAAGTATCTTTTTCTATTACTGCACATAAACTGTTTAACTCCTTAAATGATGATAAATATTAATAACATTAATAATATTTAGGTTGTAGAAATAGGTTATTCCATCAAAGACATAATAAATATCATGAACAACTCTGTCTGTAAGTTTTATTTTTATCTAATTCATTTTTTGCTTAGCAGCCAGTTTTAACTTTTTGATTTCTTTACCAGTCATTGAGAAAAGTATATATTCTATTTCTATAATTGTGGACACTCTAATGTGCTTAGTAGCCGCTTTTGGTTTGTTTGTTGTTCTCGTTGTGGTATGTGATGTTTAAATCTTAAAATCTTAAATATCAAAGATTAAATTAACTAAGTTTTTCATTTTAAAACAAACAGGAAACTTCACATCTTTTAAAGCTCTACGTTCGATTTGTTTATGCTCTTATAATACTCAGATCTTTGAGTTGGCTCTATACCGTTATTGTCTTTGCTTCATTTAAAAATGATTTTATGAACTTTTGTAAAGCATCGTACAACCAGAGTAATGCCGATGAAAACCAGATTACTCGCGCTTGTAATATTGCATATATTGGCTGGTTTTTATCAACCATCTTTATAGGCGTTTTTCTCATTATTATTACGGTATGGTTAATTTTTTCGAATTACAATTAGATTTAATTTAAATATATATATATATATATTAATCAAAATTTTCGATTACTATAGATTTATTTTGCAATGGTCATTAATGCTTATGCGGAAAAGTGTAAGGCTAAAGAAGACGGTTATTACATTTCACCTGATGTTATTGAAACGCCTGGATCCAACCTTAATAGTTAAAGTCGGGAAGATTAAATTATTGGCTGAAAATTTAACATGGAATTTTATCATAACAGATAATTTAAGTACCTACGAAATACGTGTATTATAACGCATGTAACCGAAACGTTATACTCCTTTAAATATTATTCCATAAATTCATTATTTCCGGAGTAGAGCGGAGGAATTTAAGTCCAGACAATAGGTGTGAAAATTTGGATTCCGTGTGTGTTTTAGGGGGGTATAAAATAAAATAACGAAAAACATAAATTCTTCGATCTCAAATGCACAAATCAAATTATATCGGACATTTAACAGTATATGTCGCATTTTAAATTTAACTTCAATTTAGTGGTACTAGATATAAGACCCGTCGTTAAACGACGGGTTAGAATTATAATCAATTTTATGATACATAATTTAAATAAATTTTTTTTTTATATTAAAATATAAAAATTAGCATTAGGATTCGCAAGAGCTGGCACTTGCACTATTATAACATAATACCAATGCCTGTATTTGACACTATGTTTTAAACATTTGCGTTGTGACAAAGCAGGTGTAAAATCCCTAATTTTATATAATGTGACCCACTTAACAATTTAAACAATTCCTGGTCAGAAAAATATCAATTAGGTTACATCAAATTACAAAAAAAACAAATAAAAAACTTTCTGCACCCTAACGATAAGTTCCCCGAGAAACTTTACAAACTAATAGCCTGAACGTAATTAACATAAAAAGTTCTTCAAATTCAAATGACACAAAGCATTTGAGTTATTGACGCTTTATATATATATAGTTAATTGACTTAACGTACCTTTTACGAACAGTGACATTTCACAAACTTTAAGAGGACGCTAAAATTACTATGAAAAAATTAACGATGATCAGTAATTAGAAGTATGCTCAGAAGTCTATATTTTTATTTATTAAGTTCAACAAAAATTCTGAAACCGGTCAACTTAAAAAAAAATTAAGCTATTATACCTTGTTAAGAACTGTATATATCGTCTGACATGTTTTTCAATAGAAACTTAATGCTGTAATACTAACATTTCGCTTCTGAATCAGTATTAAACTAACATGCCAGTAAAAAGAGTAAAAACCATTTGGTTAGGTGCGAATTGATAAATATACATAAGCAGGCGGTATTGTTTTATGAATTAAGCAGATTATGGAATGTTACTGTATAGTCTTCTAACAAATGTAATCTGATGCCACTTAATAAAGAAATTAATCGCGTCGTTGTATTACCTTTGAATTTTTGGTACATACGGTTATTTTAAAATTATAAGCAATAATAACTTAGAATTTAACGCTTTGATATATATACTATGGTATAATAATTGTCGTGGCTGATGCTGAAATTGGTTGATGCTGAAATTTGGACCTATTTTGATACGAAATTTTAAAAAAATTTTGGGGTG